CCCCCCCCCCCCCCCCCCCCCCCCCCCCCCCCCCGGCCCGATCGATCGGCAGGCAGCTCATCACTCAGCCACGACACGCAGCGCCCATCAGCACGCCCGGGCTATCGAACGGACTCCATTATCCAGCGGAAATCCAAGGGTCAGCCTGCCATTAGTGAGGCGGCCCCTGAATGCAGCGTACGGCGGTAATATAGCCATCATGCTTCTCCCGCGGGGGGGGGGGGGGGGGGGGCGTGCGAGGCTGAGAGCATCCCACCCCCATTGCTGTTTAATGCGTTTATCTTCAAGGTTAATGAGCAATGTGGGAGGGGGATTTCTGTGTACTGCAGCCGTTAAAGATTTTGGGCCCCATGAAACCATATCATATTAGGCCCCCAACCCAGACCAATCCAGTTATGATCCAAATTTTTTAGGGCCCCTACTCTTTTTGGGCCCCTGGAATCATACTAAATTTCACCCCCATTATGGCGCCGCTGGCGATTAGCATTAGCGGATTCCAGGATTGATCCCAGAGTGAGGGACAGAAGCTGAAGGGCAGAGCTTAGCTGTGCTGAGCCTCAGAATGAGGGACCATCCATCATACGGACAGACATGGGTCAGAGACATGGGTCACTTCTGTGTACCCAACCCTCACATTTCATATGAAACATGAATTATGGCTGCCTTTAAAGGTAAGTACCACACTGTGCGTTTGTCATGTTTTACATCACTGATAGACCATGTGCAAACCCTGCATGTGTAATGCGTACTATTGGAGGTTCATCATTATCATCATCATTATTATTAATACTACATATTATTACGTGTATGATGTTGAATCTTTGCGACGATGTTGGATTCAAAGATTCAAAGTTTTATTGTCATTTTCTACAAGTACAAGAGGAATGAAATGCTTGTGTACCTTCCTGCAGACTTAGACAATTTGTAACAGTGAAAAATTATCACAGTAACAGAGTAGTGAACATTAACATACAATATGTACAATATACATCCAATATACACTAATATACAAGGAGGGCAGGAAGGTGCTGAGATTTAAGTAGCATCCATCCATCCATCCATCCATCCATCTATTTTCTGAAACCGCTTGTTCTGTTCAGGGTCTCGGGGGATCCGGAACCTATCCCACAGGCTATGGCCGCAAGGCAAGGAAGAACCCAGGACAGGATGCTGACCCATCACAGGTTTAGAGTAGCAGTGGTTAATAAATAACAGTGGTGATTGTGATTATTCTGTGAGTAATCAGTGGATATTTAACATTCTCATTACTGTAGGAGAGAATGTGTCCTGAGACCCGAAGTCTGGACCCTGATGGACCTGTAGCATCTTCTGGAGGTGATGAGGGAAAGAGAGGACAGGGATGGGGAGCGTCATTATGCGGCAGAGTTTTCTGGGGTGGCTTCTTAGGAAAATTCCCTGAACTGCCGGCAGCTGGTGCCCGGCGATGGTCGGTGCCGTTTTCACACCTTGCGGTCCAGTGCTGTACAGCTGCCAATCCAGCACAATATTCTGGGCTCCTACAGGTCAACAAGTAGCACAGCGTGTTAACAATGCAAAGAGTGTGGGTTCAAATCCCAGAAAACATGCATATATTGTAATGTTTCCCTCAACTGGAAGGTGCTTTGGATAAAAGTGTCAGATAAATGAATAGAATGCAGCTGACCAGGATGGATTTCATGAGGCACCTGGAGAATGTGGTGAGAGCTACAAGTGACATCTGGGCCATCCTTGGATACCTAAGGAAGTAAAGGTGCTGATGGCCTGTTTTCACAGCAGTTGCTGCTCATTCAGCTGATCAGTGAGGGTAACTCCAAGAAACGTGGAGTTTCTGATCTTCTCCACAACAGTTCCTCTAGTGTAAATTGTACTGTGTTCTATCACTTGTTTCCTCTAATCCACAATTAGTTCCTTGGTTTTGCTCATGTTCGGGGAGAGGCTACTGTTCTGACACCACTATGACAAACTTCACAATGGAAATGGAGCTGAATCTGGGCACTCAGTCCTGAGCGTATGGGGAGGACAGCAACGGGTTCAGCACGCTGCCCTGAGGGGTACCGGTGTTGAGGGTCACGGTGGAAGAGGTCCTCTTGTCTATTCTTACACGCTGTGGTCTGCTGGTGAGGAATTCCAGGAGCCAGTTGCAGCGGGAGCAGAGTCTGGAGGTGATGACCGTGTTGAACCCACGCTGCAGGTGTGAAGTGTGAGGGGAACGACGTTCCTCCAGGACGTTCTGAGGAGCAGATCTTCCTCTGTCATTTCTGTGTAAAGAGCAGCCCGGCGTTACTGTGATGAGTCAGAAGCAGCCCTGGTCCTGAAGGAGGCGCCGAAGCCACATCCTGGTGATGTGATACCCTGCGCTGAGCCATGATGTCACAGTATCTCAGAGGCCGTGTCCCAGACTCTCCGAAAACAATGCCTCTATTTCCCCGCCAATCCATCTGTCACATGATTCCCATAATTAGGCTGTGCTCCATCCTGCGGGTGGTAGTTACTATTCCTGGAGGATTTGGAGTCCTGATGTTGTCCCCCCCCCCACCCCCTGCTACATAGACGGCCAGAGGGAGTCATGCTGCTCGTGTGCCATGAATGTGCCATGGTACACATCACTGCCGGGGCATATTATCACCCCCAGCCCATCAGCTCCAACAAGGCTCACTGTCCTGTGATCACAAGACCCTCAAAGTACCACAGAGGATTTACCCATCAGGGCATGGATATGACATCCAGCATTTCTGCATTGCAGGACATCTGGTACTGTACTATTATTGCGTCCAGTATTACTGTACTGCATGACATCTCATAAGAATCCTCAACACTTTCAGAGAGAGAAAACTGATGAAAATATGAATACTGTGATGGACACTCCCTACAGCTTTTGGTTGTTATTAATGGGCGAGTCCGTTTGGTTTAATGTGTTTATGGTTTAACGTCACTAGCAGCTAGACAGAGATCACCAGCGTTCTGCTTCTCCTCAGGCTGGATGCCTGGCGGTATGATCCACAGCAGCGGGATTTTACTGAATAAGGACTCAGGGAAGTGTGTTTACCCGGAGACAAAGGAGACAGCATGGAGAGAGCGTTTCAGTTTATCAACATCTCCTTTTCCAGTACTGCTGCATGTTAACGGGACACAGAAGTACTCCATCTCTGTCACCTTCACCCCAATATGAGGGTTTGGAGAAGGTCCAAATAGATCCACTCATACCCGTATCTATCACCACTAAAGTCATGTCCTCGCTATTTTTTCTGCAGTTTTTACTAGAATATTTCACTGAATGATGCACTGACAATAAAGCTGACAGAGCGATCAGATGTCAGTGTAATTAATTTGGATCAAGACATAAACACGAGTTAAAAATTAGTAATTTGCACTGTAGTCTTTATACATTTTCTCGATGAGCATGCCAGCTAACGCTATTGACTTTATTATAAAAATCCTGCCCATGTCCCTGATCCCACTGTATATGAAGAGAAGCACACGGAAGGTCAAATCCACCGAGTCTTGCCCAACAGACCTCCTCATAACGCCACAGGAAACCAATGACGATAATGTGATTGTACCTGGCAGAAACTTACAGACTGCGCTTCACCTGCACTACCATTGCACAATTCATATAAACTGCATTACAGAAGCACGTTATCCCTGATAAACTAAGGGCAGGAGGTTCGTAAATGAGCAAATGCTGACCCCTAGTGGCAGAACGAAGCAAGGACGCGTCTTTTTTATGTAAAACACAATCCAGAAAATGGCCACGGAGGAAATACGAAATGCTTTTAAATCCCCCGGTTAAAGGTGCCTTCCGCTTGGCAACGTGGTCCGGACGGGAAGCAGCTTCCAGACCCGCACTGGGGCTCCGGCAGTGGTTCTGATTACCCAGGTTCGTGGTCTGTAAGGACATACGTTGCGCTGTGGCTCCTAATCCGACATGATTGCTTGAAAAAAAATAAAATACGGGGAATGACGATCAGCGCGATAGAACTCCTTGGGACGTTCGGCTGTGTCGGTTAACAGCGTGTTGTTTTACCTTGGACAATGACCTTTCTGTACGAATGTGTCCTTCTGAAAGCGTGCCTTTTATTTTAACCGGTGATGATCTGATTATGGGCTTTGAAGGGGCGGTTGGGCTCCCCGATGACAGGCCAACATGCAGCTTTTCGCTTCGTGCGCGCCGGGACATGGGTCACATCTGGGGTGACATTTAACAAACGCGGGTCGCTCTGATGAGCTGCACCAGAGGTCAGAGGCACGAAACGACGTCTAAATCTGGCTGGCATCCCGTGTGTCACTGCTTGGTGGGAGGGGTTTGAAATGAGTTTGATTTATTATACTGTTGATAGCCCTGTCCGACTGACATAGCTCGGCCGTGACTCACGCCACCTTTATGGTAGTAGAGTTCGGGCAGATCCGTGCATCCCTGTGATGTTTATTAGTTAGTTATTACTACCCACGTGGTATTGAACTGTAAGCTTCTACCATGATATCCTAAATACGTAAGCTATTTGGCTCCTGGAACATACGGATAAATCTGTTGAAAAGTATTTTGGGATTAGAGGAAATGGGGTCACGACCGCATATGTGTCCCAGCTGTCAGTTCCAAAATCGTGTATGTACCTCGGTACACCACGTGGTACATACACATACTCTTTGTAGGGAACCTGTGCAAATCAGGGTTTTCCTGATTTACTCCTGTTTCCTGTATTTTCACCTGGGATTCAGTTTAATAATGTAGTAATATATTATTCTGCCTCACATTTAAGTCTGGGGCGGCACAGTGCTGCTGTGATTAACATGGTTGGATTCCCCATCTTACCTCTGCATGTGTAGGATCTGCATGTTCTCCCCATGTCCTTGGGGGGTTTCCTCTGGGTACTCTGATTACTTCCCACAATCCAAAAACATGTGAAGGTGACTTGGACTTGTCAAATTGTCTATGTGTGTGAATGGTGTGCAAGTCCTGCGACGGGTCGGTGCCCCGTCATTGGTTATTCCTTCCCGTTGCTCATTATTTCCAGCCTCCAGGCCCCCACAACCCAGAAACAGACAAGCAGTATATAGGATGAATGAATGAATAAATTAATGAATGAATATTTAAGTCTGTCTTCTTTCCACAGCACCCATAGTGCAGCCATGTTCTCTGGGCGGCTCCTCAGGATATCCCACAATGCACTGGGAAAGCCACACCACCGGGGCATGGCTGTGTACAGCAGTGAACTCTGGGATGAGATCAGGGGGAAGCTTAGCATGTTTCCAGGTGGGTCGGTCAACCTGGTCAAGCAGGAGTCTGGGATCGCAGTGCTCACGGTCAACAACCCGGACCGCATGAACGCCTTTTCAGGTACATCGGTTAAAATGTCACATGGGGACCTTCCTACAGTGTTCATTCAGCCATTGAATACTCTGACCTCTGAAGATCTCCTACTTGTTTCTTCAGGCACCATGATGCTGGAGTTGCAGGACCGAGTGTCCCAGCTGGAGAACTGGAAGGAAGGGAAAGGACTCATTGTTCACGGGGCGGGCGGGACGTTCTGTTCCGGATCAGACCTGAACGCAGTCCGAGCCATATCTAATCCTCAGGTATGCCGTCGGCTGATATCTCAGAAGACCTGCGTGATGAGCTTCAGTACTGCTTTTACGGGGAAGGTTGTCCTCAGGTATGGGGACTTGGGACGTCAGGAGAAGACCAGCAGGTGGAAGGTTATGGGTGCCAGACACGTTTATAATGTGTTTCATGTTAGTCACTGCTGTTCTTTCAGGATGGGATGAAGATGTGTATGTTCATGCAGGACACACTGACCAGACTGCTGAGGTAAGAGGCTACTTTGAGTTCCCATCTCCGCTGGCCTTACTATGCGCATACATTTCATTGATTTATTTAGCAGACATTATTGATAGGAGGGAGGCACATGTGACGATCAGGGTCAGCAAGTTTCCCTGGAGCTACAGGGGCTTAAGGGCACAGTGACGTCACTCTGCCGACTCTGGGATTCAAACCAGCAACCTTCTAGTCATATGCGCAGCATCCTAGCCCACTGACCCACACAACCAGAATATACCTGTGCCCTATGTGAACCTTACATCGTACACCAGGACTATTCAAATCACGGTGCTCTAACTCTGAGCCCTGCTGATTTCCCAGCCTATCTGTGAGCCAGGTGTGAAGCCTCTGACCAATCAGAATTAGAAATTGTTAAACTAACTACCTGGGAGAACTGAAATGTGAGCCTCTCACACTGACACCTGTACGTGTGTCTTATGTGAGCCTTATATACTGACAGAGCTGTTCCCTCAGTGCAGGCTGCCCCTCATCTCTGTCGCCCTTGTGGAGGGGAGAGCGCTGGGGGGTGGGGCAGAGCTGACCACGGCCTGTGACTTTAGGTAGGTAAGGATCACCTGATCTTCTCTGTTCAGTTTCCCAACACTTGACACTCTAATGTGCGAAAATATGATCACTGAAAAAAGTTACCATCCTGCATTAAATATCCTTTGACTGCGGTTTGAAGTCTCTTCTGGAAAGTTAAGTCCAGACTGAGTGTTTAGACGAATGATGCTAAAACATACTTTTAGACATGGTCCGCCAGATCGAATCTGTTTCTAGACCAGATAGTAATGTGGTCCCTCACAGAAGTTGTATTTTCAACAATGACTTGTTTTACAATTATGTATTAATTAATTACATTAATTGAAGAACAGGTTTTAGTAGCATGATTTGACGTAGTTGGAACGGTCAGAGGTAACATGACTGTGTTTTGTAAACAGGTTGATGACTCCTTCCAGTGAGATCCAGTTTGTCCACAAGCATATGGGTTTGGTTCCTGGATGGGGAGGCGCGGCCAGGCTCGTGCGGATAGTGGGCAGCCAGGGAGCTCTGAAATTACTGGCTGCCGCACTGAAAGTAGACTCCGCCCTTGCAGAGAGGATCGGCCTGTCCGATGGGGTTGTGGCCACAGGGGCGGGGACAGCGTTGGCGGAGGCAGAACATTGGTTGGGCGACTTTACCAGAGGCCCCGCCCCTGTGATCCAGGCCATTAAGAAGGTGGCGCTATCTGGGCGAGAGCGCCCCCTGGAGGACGCACTGAGAAAAGAGAAGGAGGTGTTTGGAACTGTGTGGGGAGGAAGTGCGAACCTGGAGGCCTTGGCCCGTAAGTCCAAGCACAAGTGAGCAGAAGCAAGAGGATGAGAATGGAGAAACCAGAACTGTTAGCCATTATCAAGGACCGACAAAAAAATAAAACCACTTCAGAATTATGTAAGCAGTGGCTTGATGTGTACAGGGGTGTGTCAAATGTGTTTGTAGTAAAGTGGCCTCTTAGTAGGGTAACAAGCTTATGTGACCAGCATGTTTGTAGATTTGATGAAGCTCTTTGCCCTTTTACTTACATTAGAAAGATATATGAAGGATGTATGCTAGCTAACGAGTGTGTTTTTGAGTTTTAACCTTCAGTCGAAGTTCCTGGGGTCTCACTGAGCACTGAGTGACTGTAAGGAGGTGTGATAGATTTCAGTCACAGTCGCCCTCTTAGTCCCAAAATGGAGAGCGTTGTCTTCTCTCAGGGGTCCTTGCTGCTTCTTTTGCGTCCCATGTGGGGGCTGCTGTGGGTCACATGACATCTGGGTGGAGCCTCTGCCGTTCCGATCCCCCGTACATCTTCCCCTTCTTCCATTCTTTGGTGTATTTGGTTTGGGATTAAAGCTCTGCCGCAGTGCCTGTTTTTACCACAGATTCACTTTTCTCCTCTGGAGATTGTTGCTGTGGCTGAATGAAATGGGTCAAGACTGCAGTCAGACAGCAGCCCCAAACCATGACGACACCCCCATGTCTTGTCCTGTTTTTTGACCTGTGACTTACCAGCAGATAAAAAGGAACAGCACTCACTTAGCCTAACTCACTGTTACACTAGTACTAATACTAGAAGCGCTAACATTCCAAAGCTGGTTCCCTCACCAGTACAGATGGGTTTGGTATGTCAACATACCAGTGGAATACAGACAACAGCTTGTGTTCATGAAAAAGCACAGACTCCTACCTGAATACATAGAGTCATTGGTCCATCAGAGGCTCTTAAAGACAGGGATATGTGATCTGAGGGCCCAGGGCCCCCGTGAGGCTCCGCTGTTGCCGTGTGACCTGAATTACTCTAGGGCGATACCCCGGTGCATTCTGGGTAGAAGCACATGGAAGCATAATCACCTTTTAATCTGGATTTGCTATTCCAATGGTGAGATGCAATGCAGTCTGCTGTGGATTGATGACAGGAGCGAAGATGAATGAGGAAGTAACAGCGTTGCCCTTCAAAAGAAGCAGTCAGGCCCAGCGCCGGATGAACAGCCAACTCCATTCACACTACATATGAAATGAGTGTTTCAGTGCTGAGGATTAACGTGGGCTGACAGACGTTTCATATTTAACTTACAAATGCGTAAAGAAAGCAAAATTAGAGCTTTTTTTTTACCATTTTAAATTTCCAGATGAAGAGGACACGACGAATCGTGCCAAGACATTAAGATGCTTCGATTAAACATAAGTTATCCAATATGGCAAATTTACTGTTTGTTTTAGCCTGTGGACTGTCCTCAGAAAAGACCAAAATGATCTAAAATAAAACTTCACTTTGTTCGGCCAAGTCTTCAGCATTCTCCATTCAAAAATACACGCATCTCAAGGTACAGACCATCAGACTGAGAAACGTACAAAGTCAGCATCCAAAGACCACACTCTGCTTATGAAACTATTCAGAACATTTATTAGGGGTTTAAAGGGGAGGTGAGTAGTTAACATCGTAAGTGACAATCAAGGCCCTTTGGGGACAAACAGCTGGAAAATTAAATTCCAAAATCCAGTCACACCTCAGCTTAAGGGGTGGTTCAAGGCAATAAAATATAGAATTCCAACAGGACTTCTTTCTTAAGGAGACCTTTACTGTTCGTCTGGAGTGTTGGTTTAGCAGAGAGGACACTGGCCTGCCATGGAATCTTTTCACACCTCAGTCACTGTACACTGGCCATCCGGTCTTCTGGAGTTCTCACTGCCACTGGCAGACTCGCCACCAGGGGGCGGCCTCTCTGCTTGGCTCCTTCTCACATGTCTTCTCTCCAGATTTGCCATCAGCATCAGTCTCTGTCTGGCCCGCATGCCTTCCTCCTGCCCCTCCTCGTCTTCGTCCTCGGTGTCCGGGCCACCGGGCCCTCGGGACGGGGAGGTCGTGTCCTCGTCCCCCTCCCCCTCTGCACTCCTGACTCGCTCTAGTTCCCCCGGGTCGGAGACCTGAAGCTGGGCAAAAGAGCTCTCCAGCGAGGGGCTTGTGTCGAGCCAAGATACGGGGGCATCCTCAGGCTGGCCCCCAAGGGCGGTGGGGGGTCTTAGGGGTACAGATCCAGCCACGATGGCGGTGCCATGAAGGCCCGTGGTGTCTGCTCCATCGGCGGAGCTCTCGCGCATGCCCTCGGCGTCCAGCCGCAGCCCGGCCACGCCCTTCTTGGGGATGTCGGCAGCGTCACGTTTCATCCTGCGGCGCCGCCCGTGCTCATTACGCCGGTACTGCACCATGTTCTCCAGGTCAGCGACGTACAGGAAGCCGGCGATCAGCATCTCTGTGCTCTTCTTGCCCTTGGTGAACGCGTCCTCCAGCTCGCGGCTGCTGCGCTCATCGTACTGCCACCAGCCGTTGCGGCCCTCGTAGTACCAGGCGTGCTCGTTGCGGCCCTGACCCGCGTTCTTCAGCTCCTCCGGCGACAGGAGCGTCGGCCGCTCCAGGAAGTCCTCGGGGACCTCCTGCCTGCAGAGGGCGCACCGCTTGCTCTGCCAGGAGGCACCCTTGACGCACAGGAAGCAGAAGATGTGCTTGCAGGGCAGCCGCACCGGGTGGATGCAAGTCTGCAGGCAGATGGCACACTCGGGGACTGGCAGGCTGGGGGCACCTGAGCAAACTTCGTTGCCACTTTTCTGGCCTGAGGGGAGCGTGTTCATAGTGAGGTCAACTTCACTGCAGCCAGCCATCCTGTAGAAGGGCAGAGGCAGGGTGACACAGGACCCTGGGCAGGGACACTGCTCTAGCACACTGTAAAGGACAGGGAGGCAGCAGAGTGAGCTGGCCTCGATAGATAAAGGATCCAGATAAAGCCAAGCAGTAGTGAAATCTACAGCATTGCAGTCAACGGGGCATCAATGGGGAGACAGAAAATTAATATAGTCACACTGGAAATCTGGAGATACTCACTGTATAGTCGGTCTTTACAGGGGTATCATCGGTGGGTCTGAGTGCCTCTTGAGATTTCTGTAACTAAAGCAAAAAAGAGTCGAATTTAACCAAACACCAGAACCAGTTACGCTAAAAACCAGTTACAGCTGGAGCAGGGGTGAATGGTGTCAACGTTTCTCTTCGGGTGAATTCAACGCGAGAGCCGGATCCGTGTTTACAAAACAGCTTACATGTAGTTCCCTTAATGACGCATTAGCCGTCATGCTAACCACTAGTCGCAGAGCACGGCGAAGGTATTATCTTTCATGCTAAACCGTCAAGACCGGAGCAAACACGAATACACTGCCGTAGAGGAGAGCTGCACATCGGCCTAGAAACACACAAAATCAAACGCGAATATTTATACCGCCCTTGTTATGACCCAGAATAACAGCTAAGCGAAGGCTGTGTGGTGCTTCGAAGGCACAGTAATAACTATGCTATACTAACCTCTGAGCGCCAGAAACAATAGTAAAGATTACGATAATAATTACTGTGCTTCCTACAACAAAATATAAATTGCTGTCGCGCGTACACAGACCTGTCAAAACAGCCAGCCGGGCAACACCGGGATCAGACGACCATACCAACAGCCCTTACCGAGGAAGACACCGCGGAGCTCGGGCCGAACCACCCTCTTGCGCGACGTCTGACGCCATTACGCGGCGACGTCCCAGCGTAGTCGCTCGCGCGCTGCTCTGTTATGTGCGTTTAGAGGCTTAGTAATAATTACCAGAAAGTTGTTCAAGGGTGAAATGGTTTATTTTCTTCAGTACAAATGGGCATTATAACCTTATAATATAGTTTGCGTAACACGATTGAATATTTAATGACGGTTGAAACACCTGGGAGTGCCTTAGGTGGAGTTTATTTCAGGTGAGGTGAAGGACAGCGGACTATTTCATAATTAAAATGCCTAGTTGGTATCATGATCCAGGAAGTTTTTAACGTGAATCACAGGAGATTGAGGACTTATGTGGGTCGATCATTTAAGGTTCAGCTTAAGATGAATGGTGATCCTTCTTTATGTGGGGATGGGCATGAATATCTACATCACTGTCTGTCTGGATAGTGTTTATTTCGACGTAGAAGGGATTGTGCCCTTGTCTGACGGAGTTGACAACTCTCACGCATCTGCTGTGACACTCACGGCAAATCTATATTATTCAATTGTAAAACTAAAATTAGCTACGTCAAAAGCATTGGGGCAGGTTCTAACCCGACGGAAAGTAATAAAACTGTTACATGCATGTAAATGTGTGTGCAGACGTGTTTCGAATTGAAAATTTCACTCCAGCCAGCTAACCAAAGTTAATTCTGCAAAATCTGGTCTGATGTGATTTAGTGAAAAACCTAAAGCAAAAAAATGGGGCTTTAACTAACCTTGTTAAAGATGTCCCCCCCCCCCCCACACCACACACACACACACACACCACCCTCCATTTGAAAACTACACTGTAATACACTGTCATAGATACATAGTTTGCAGGGGGGTTCTGACCATGTTAATTTCCTTTACATGGAGAATCACATTTTCTGACCCCCCCAAAACAAAATGTTGATTTTAAATAATGTATAGATTTTGCAAATACGAACCCTTTTAATGCCTTTTATCAGCCCCTGACTGTATAATGTCTAATTTTGCACTATCTGCATTGTTTTACATTTTTTTTATTGGTTAGCACTGGCTTTGTTAGCGTTTGTGACCGAGTGGCTGAATATGTATGCATTCTAAAGCACATGTTGGCCAATAAAGAATCTTGATGTTGAGTTTAACGGCACTCTAATGTTCAAGTGGTTACTTTTCAAGGCGCTCAGTATTGTGCGAATGGAACCATTTGGAAAGCGATTATTTTGTTTTATGTCAGTCAGCGCTGTCAGCCGTCAGTGGGCTTTTACTGTGGCAGCTTGCTCCAGTCCTGTGAAACTGGTAACAGATTAATAAACGTTCAGCTGGCTCTTATTTTGAGGCTGACGTCTGGGTTTCGGGTTTTTCATTGGTCTGGCCTTGGAGTTCTACCAGTTACACGTATCATGACCATCTCATTCCAACACCTGCCAGCAGATCTGCTGGATTGGATGCTGCCCATGGGATAGTAGGTGAGTTTTTTTTTTTTTAATGGTTTATTGGTGTCTGTTCCTGTTGCTTTGCATTTAAAGGAAATGTGTTTTTCTGTTGCTGTTCAGGTATGATGTTTCTCATAAAAAGACAGTGATGTTTTTGATGGGAGGGGCTTGGGCAGAACGGTAGCAGTTCAAAGCCAGCTGGTGCATGGAGGTAGAATAGCATTACATGCACCCTGCTGAGAGATGCCTGGTACAGAGGTGGGATGTGTTCCGGTGGATAGAGGAGTGGTGGAAGGAGTGGGAGTTACCGGTGGTTGGGAGGGCTGTGGTGCATGCAATGCTATCCTCTGCCTGCTTGTTGACTGATGCTCTTGAGCAGAGTTCCCCCAATCCGGTCCTCGGGGACCCACAGACGGTTCACGTTTTTGCTCCCTCCCAGCTCCCATGTGGGCTGTCTGACAGGGAGCTCAGAGGAAGCAAAAAAAAAAAAACCGTGAAACCGGCTGTGGGTCCCCGTGGACCGGATTGGGGAAACTCTGCTCTTGAGGTACCCAGCTTAAGGTGGAGCGCATGCATCAGAAGGATGCAGGATGGAGGACCTGCAGCGTCAGATACACTGAAGACAGCTGCACTCTTATAAGGGATGAACTGTCATTTCCTGGCATGAAGGGAGGGATCCTGGGGAGTGAGCACCCGGCCCTGGTGCCGGTATGGGTGTGTTTGCAGCAAAGCAGATTCCAGTAAATTTGATCATATGATCAGGTGATTTGAATATCACCTTCTGCACGCAGATCATATGTTACATGTGGATTTCCGATGTTCCTGATGAGTAAGGAAACCAGCCAATGTCACGATTAGTAAAATGTTGGAAAATTTGTGGTGCCAAATATTAATAGAAAACGGGTAACATAACCAAGTAAATTTAAGTTTGTTTTGAACCAGAATGCAAGATGAGGCTTTATTTGCCATTTGAGAACAAAGCTTGGGATCAGAGCACAAGGGACTGGCAGCAATGTGACTATTCTGCCAAACATGGGATCCGAACCAATAACCTCACAGGCACAGTGAGGCCTTACCAGCTGAGCCATACACCATTGCCCAGTGGCAGCTGGCATCTGTGGTCTGATATGGCAGTGTGTCATTGGTAAATCGAGCAGAGCCCTTGCCCCTGAAAATTTTTCCAAGGGCGTAGTGCAGTTGGCTCAGACTACGGTCCAAGCCCAAGCTTTGCTTTCACCTGTATATGTGGGTACATGTTATTTAAATTGTGATCCTCATATAAAATTCCAAGCCTCGCACTTCCGACTCATTGCCAAAATATTCTATTTGTGTAGTCAGTGCTCATTGCACGCAGTTGGCGATTAAACTGTGGCCAGATAAGATGTAAATTAAACTTCATCCATTTGTGTCATTTTTGTGGCAAGTTCATGAGCCCACATTCGAGTCACTCAGCTCTCCAAATGTATTTTCTGTTTTTATTTGCCCTGTTTCACTTGCCCTCTGTGAGACTGCCAAAGACATTCTAGACTTCCATCAAGTATGTGGGCGTCTGGCATGGAGATCAGATCTTTAAAAGCAGGAGGAGAGCAGCCTTTACCGACTTTCCCGACGCGGCGCCGTTTGGATAATGGCAGGGCTGCTGCTAAACGAGTCCTTTTTAATTTTACGCCTGATCAAGTAGCTGGATCCCGAAGCTGTTTTATTATACTTTGGGGTAATAAAATTTTATTTATGCAGCAGTAGCTCCTGTACTTTCACGGATGCTCTCTGCTGACCCTGGAGAATTTAGGGAACATGAAGAGAGCGAGTTCCCATATCAGTGTTCATTTTAGTACCCTGTTTCAAACCGCACCGTGGGTGAATGGTGACAGTATTGTGTAGGAAGATCATAATGAGACTGTCCCTCTGGGAAGAGCTTTGGCTGTGGGCTCGGGGGTGGGGTGGGTCCTGCCAGTTAATGTCCGTCCCTCTGCATGAGACAATCCCTTGGCAGAAGGGTGCATTTATCTGGAGGAATCATGACGTACCTTCTGGGTCACCCTGCTGGACAGGCGGTGACTGTTGCCGCACGGCAGAACATCTGTCCATCATGGAGTTGGTGTGGGAGGAGATGGCTGGGCGGGAAAGATTTCATGTCGTCTGGCGTGGCTTGTGTCACAATGGCCTGGTAAAGGGACTGAATATGAGACAGGACTGGGTGCCGCAGAATTACTTAAAGGACCCCCGGCCCCAAGCTGGAATCTGGCTGCATTACTGAGACGGGGAGGGGGCACGACGCTGATAAGTCAAACTCCCCCACCTGTGACGGCTGTTCTCCCTCACTGACTCATCTGCAGTCCCGACCAAAGTGAAATATGGCCATGTGTGAATCGGTTGCTGAGAGGGGCTTGTGTAACCGATTCTTCTGCATTCGGAAGCACAGTGTTCCTGGGTGAGGAGGACGAGGGTCATGTGACCAGCCTGGGATCATTAATTCCACCTGTCCCTCGTTCCTTGGATCAACTGGTGTGTCCTATTTTACTCCAGCCCCCAGTAACCTAAATGAAGCCAAAGCCAGATTCACCCTGAACACAGAATCCTGTGTCTGTCGAAGCCGTGTAAATGAGGTGCTGCCTAATCTCTGAAATGAACCTGTTCCCTGCCCAGATCCATCATATTCAGACACATCATAGAAATAAAGCCCATTAACCTTCAGCCACATGGCAATAACGAAAGATAGCATTAACAAATAATAATAATAATTTGTATTTTTTTTTTTTTTTTTTTGCATATAGCTGTTACACAACACATACGATGTATTTATACAAATATATAACAGTGATGTTGTATTTACTTAGTCTTGTCCAATGAAATTTACTTACATTCTCAGAAGGATTCCGGCTGATTGGTAGAACGTATACTGCAGGACTTTACACTGTGTATTGTGTTGTGTACAGCTTGACGTGGCTTTGCAGTATAATATCAGTACAGTTGACCGGTGTAAAAGAACAACAACCAAATAAACAAATAAATTAGGTAAAATCAGGTTTATGTTTTTAACTTATGGGGCACTGGAGGATGCAAATGAGGGCAGTTTTAGCGTGATGTTGCAGATCACATGCAGATCAGAAACAGAAACTGCGGGGGGGGGGGGCTTCACATGGGTGGGGGCCCTAAGGGTGAAGTGTACATGATTTGCTGTGGGCCCCGGCCAGCACAAGTGATGCCAGGACTGGACACGTAACTCCAGGACGGACGTGTGACTGGTGTGACACTTTCGCAGGATTGAACACCAACCGGTGTGCTCGTGCTTTGAAGATACAAGGTCATACAGTGGACACATGATGCAGACACATTTGTACAGCCCTTAAATCACCTCAGTGGACAACTTCAGTGTGTGTAGATATCCTGTGTTTATGATATTAAAGCTAACTTTTCAATGGCTTCTCTGATGGCTCTTTTGATGAAATCTTTGACCTGATGACATTGAGAACACCTCTTCCTTGGGCCTGGGTGAGATCTAGATCATTCTATCCGGTCACATGGCCATCCTGATGTATTTTCTGACCTGTGTGTCTGGGTCATGGACTGGAGATGTGGGGAGAACCTGCAGGCTCCACATACAGAGAGCCAGGGGCAGGGATCAATCCCACAACCCTGGAGACCCAAAGAAACGGGGCTACCTCAATGCAACAGGACAAATTTAGGTTTGTCTTTTTTCCCATAATCGGGAAAAATAAGATTGGCTATCAATTATGTATTCAATATTTAAAAAGATAAATAATAATTTAAGACGGTGGCATATGATTAGTCATTTATCTTTGTAAATATGACTTTGTCATATTACCCAGTTTAGGAGAATATGGAATACTTCTGACTTAATGATTACAAAAGTGTTGCCTGGGGGGGGGCATCCATTCATCAGTGTTAGTAGGAGCTCCGGGAGAATGTTGGGGCTCTCGTACATGTCATAGAGACGTGGCCTAATGACCTGGTGAATGTGCATCAGTGTTGAAACCAATGATAAATTCATATCTTATAACATCAAAGTAATAAAAACACTAACCATTACATACATAAGACTGAACAGCCGGGAGTGACCATACTTCTCCGCTTCAGAAGTCATCGGGATCCTCCAAGAATCTGGCCAGCACCTCCTGAGCGAAGCCGGGGAATGTCGTGTCCCGCCCCAGCCGAAAAAAGAGCTGCTCACCATTTGCGGTACGTTATTAAAAATATCAAATCCGATAGGACGGAATCTTATCGTAGCAATAAAACGCAAACTCGTAGCCAAAGAAATACGAGTCCTGGTAACCTCTGAGTCACCTTTCTGGCCGACGCCAGCTCAGAGGCGGCACAGTCCGGATTCAGATTGTTTCCTAGCGTCGGGGTAAGCGGACTGTAAAGCGTCTCCCTGGGAAACGGGGAGGATGAAAGGCACACTGAAGGGTGCTGTCTGCTCATGCTGTCTGCTCCCTTTCACAGTTCAGTCATCAAGAGTCTCCTTAACAGCTTCTCCCGGTCAAGGTCCATCCTCAGGGCTTCAGCACTGAGAGAGAGAGAGAGAAACGTAGCATGAAACTCAGCGAGATGTCGCTTGCGTGGGCCTTAGGGCATACTCCGGGAGGCCTGTGTGCGCCTCTCTCCTGGGGCAGGCCTCAGGGAATCTCTTAGGCAGTGTCTCCTAATCCGGTCCTCGGGGAACCTCAGATAGTCCACGTTTTTGCTCTCTCCCAACTTCCAGTAGCTGTCTGGCAGGGAACTCGGAGGGAGCAAAAACGTAGACCGGCTGTGGGTCCACAAAGACCAGATTGGGAAACGCTGCTCTAGGGAATGTTTCAGACTAGGAGGCATCTATTATAGAATATGAAGGAATACAGTACAAAACTCCTGGGCTGTGATCACTGCTTCACAGGGTGAGGAACAGCAGCCGTTTGCAGACACAGCTTATTTAAGCCATAAGAAAGCAGGGAAATCTGATCCAGGATCAGACCCATTGTTGACCCCGGGCAGTTTCACACAATGGCTATGTTGTGCTACAAAAAAGGCTGACCCTGTCGTGGGAATCCGAGTCTTTGTAGGCACTGCAGGTTCAAAGCACTGTCAGGAAACTGAGCAGGTGAGTAGTAACTGCAAATAACAGAGCTGACTATTACAGTTCAATCATGTGCAAGACATGATGGTGCCATTGAACAGCAATCAGCAGTGGATTCGAATCCAAGATGTCATTTCCTAGTTAAAATAATTAGGAATACTTGAGCACTGTCAAGGATACCTTATGAGGAATGCAGAATGTGCCTTATAAGAGACATGTATGTGATCTCTTATGAGGATGCAGCAGGTCCCTTAAGGCTGTCCTGGTAGATGCCTGAATCTGTGAGCAAAACGTGGGTAGGCAGAGGCAGCCTTTGAAAGCAGCTCATATGTGGTCTGAAGGGAACGTAACCATTACATGAACAAGTCATGTAGGGAGCTTAAGCACTCCATATCCGAGGCATGGAGGATAAGCGGAAAAGCTCAATAAAGGAACATACCTTGTACATGACAGCAGAGAGGCAAGGGAAGAACCTTACATGAGAAAGGCATGACTAGAAAATGAAGAATGTATGAGATGTAAGACCAGAGCAACCTCTGATTTGTACCAGAAGGGAATGCTAAAGAGCTAACGTCGGAAAGCCAGCGGGAGGAGGAAGGTGCCGGAACAGTGTTTGGTTTGGGACAGGCTACCTTAGCTGAGAGGAGCAGACCAGGGGAACGTTTCATAACATCGGAACATCAGAGAAGAAAAAGGATCAGTCAAAAGGAGCGAATGGGAAGGAGGCCAATCTGCAGAGACGAAAGGGGCTGACAGAAGGTGCTGTGAGCCGATAGCGAGGCTGAATGGAAGGGAGAAGAGGGATGGACTCAAAGCAGCTTGGTGTGCGGAGAAGAAGGGAAGCTGAGAAGGACGAGCCCGAGAGGTGGCAGCAGAGCGCGCAGAGCAGGGCGCCCCCCTCTGGCAGGGTGAAAGCCAAACAGGAACTGCGTGTGGCTACACCGCGCCGTCACGTGGTGCTCACTGGTCTGTACATACTGTGGCGTAGGGGGCTGAGCTCTGGGAGGGTCGTCTCCATTTCTCCCAGCGCTCCCTGAGGCTGGGCACTGGTGCAAGACACTCCCAGACCAGTATGACTTGCAAAAAGAGGGATTGAGGGAGCTTTAGTGTCACAAAACTACGAGGAGCAATAAAGAGGCTGTGCGACAGATTAAAAACAGAATTTCAGCAAAACGGGAGACAGCAGGCATTCACCACAGCCAGTTTCATGGTGAAAATCTTCAGAGGTTAAAGCTCACAAAAAGCTGAAACTGAACCTGCCTGAACAGGGATACTGTATTTAATGTTTGTGTCCCTCTATAAATGGTTTCAGATTTCATTTAATTTCAAGACGAATAATAGAATGAAGGCAAACTCCTCAACGTTACTCGCTAAATCGGCATTTCTGAGTAATACAACTTATTTGATAGAGAAATTGATTTTGTTCTCGATTTAAAGAGTGATGGCATCTTGCACAGTTTACCTGTCGGGTTGAGTGGAACCACAGGGTACCAGCTGAGGAACAGGCCCTTGTGAGAACGGTGGAGGCTTGGAAGGAGACACCAGATGGTGACAGCACTGCACCCCCAGTTCTAGCAGTGCAAGATCGGCCTACAAAAAAGGTACTCTCGTTATTGACACAACTGATATTTATTAAAAACCACTAAACAGACAAATGGAAACTCTGCAAAGCATCCACTTCCTGCAGCAAGTGTGTCTTTCATCTAAATTTGATTTAGCATTCTCTTTTATCCAAAGTGATTGGGAAGGCGGGGTCACACAGTCCCTGGAGCAGAGGGGGGGTTGAGGGCCTCGCTCAGGGGCCCAACAGTGACATCACTCTGCCCCTCCGGGGATTTGACCTGGCAACCTTCCGATCACAGGCACAGTGTCCCAACCTTTCTTAAGGTAGAGGAGTGCAAGTCTTCAGATCCTTGTGTGGTTCATTCCAGCTGACCATAAAGTCCCAATGCAAATAGGCCTCTAATTGAGAGCCAGAGTGAGACTGAGAGTAATGCTCACCTCCCATTGGCTGTTACCCATATACACTGTCCGGCCAAAAACAAAGTTGACATTTGAATTTATATCAGCAAATACTTAAGAGCCAATGGCTGGATCATTATTACAGCTCAGCAACGTTATGCAGCAATAAAGTAAAGTCAGCTGAGCACCTGAATCTACTGAATGGCCAGGTTACACCTCCATCCATCATAAATGGATTTTTTATTCCCTGTTGGCGTGGGCATATTCCAGAGCAAGAATGCCAAGATTCATTGGGTTCGAATTGTCAAAGAGTGGTTCAGGGAGCATGAGGAATCATTTTCATGTATGACTTGGCCTCATTGGTCTTTGGGATAAGCTGAAGGAGGCTTTATGGAGTGGATCAACTCACTTATCAATACAGGATCTTGGTGAGAAATGAATGCAAATCTGGATAAAAGTAAAGGGTGAGATGTTGCATAAGCCTGTGGAAACAATGCCATGACAAATGTGTGCCATAATCAAAGCTAAAGGCTGTCCAACGAAAAATTGAAATGGTGACCTTTCTTTTTTTGGCCGGGCTGTGGATAACACATGCATAAGATTCAATGGGCGCAATGCAAACACTTGACTAAAGTACTACTACCCAAAATATGATTATGTACAATCAGCTGAAACAACTCTTCATCAGTGGGTCTGGAAATCTCTGGGTCAGACAAATATTCCCTGATTTAGATATTTGTATATTTAATGTATGTAGATTTGTACCTCTTATTGAATGATTCGAGTAACGTACTGCTACTGATACTAAGATACGTACCACAGGGATCAGCACCTTGGAGGGTCCTGACAGGGTTAAAGACCATTCTGTCTGCTGTGTAGTAATGGAAGTTATTTTTGCAGGGAGATTTTTATGCATGCATGGGGATGATTTGTAGTGTTTTAAATAAATATGAACCTTTAAATGCCACCGCGTGCGTCCGATTTAAACCTCAGAGAAAGGTGTTTTCATGTTTAATACTATTTTGCATATTAATTGTAATTCATAATATCTCTTTGAATTGTTTTAATAGGTTACTGTTCCTCCAGGATTGAGCAGCTCTGCTTTGAAGATAAAATCATAAGTGATTAAATCATAATAATTAAATTACTTCTAAAGCACAAGCAAACAATGAAATTAAACCCCGAAACAGTTGCCTTCTGCTCACCAGCCACACCTGGGTACACTTGGCAGGATTTCAAGCCAATGAAAGGCTTACTTAACAAATTCATTTAGAAAGATGCATGTTACAGCACAGCATGGCGTTTCACAGATGGGAAAGGCCTTAATTGGCTTGGAATGACAACTACCACCTTATCAAGTTTGAAGGTTATTGATACAGCCTAGTAAATAATGTCTTCTGAACAAAGGTTTACCTTGGGGTATATGGGTGGCTGGATCTGGATGTCCAGTGAGCTTTCGGAGGTGGTTTTTCCAGCGCTGCTCTGGGAGGAAATGGCAGCAAGGGCTGCTGGGAGGTCATCTTCGTCACTATGGTTACTGTAGTTGGAATAGAGCAGAAAGGCCTCTGTTTTCAGTGCCGTAACTGTGAACATTGAAGGTGTAGACTTGGAGTAGGATCTCCAAGTGATGAGCATCATGGTCGCTTGCAGGTTTCATTACTGCCCTTACAGTAGCTATGGTTTTCTCCATCTTGAAATTGCATCACCTCACCTTTTCCTTCTGGTTCGTCTATATTCTGCAAAGCAGGAGCAAACAGCTGTTCTGCTGCTGCACAAGTACCAGTCAGACCAGACAGTATGTTAAGGGATCTGAGAATGTAGTCTGACAGTTTGATTGCTTTTTGCCTGAAACAAGTCATTATATGTCAGCTGAGTTGATGAGAAGCATTTCTCTGTGACATCAGACCATGGGGCGCTTACCCCCCAAGCTAAGTACCTGAATCTACTGAAGAGATGTATAACCGTCTTTTTGGCGGGGGTGGGGGGGCATGCTAGGTCACTATGGCCATAACTGAAAGTGATGAATGATGTATTAATAACAATAACAATAGTTTAAAAGACTAAACTCACAAACTGTACTGTCTGACGAGTCTCTTCCTCCGTTCCGATCTGACGGGTGGCTTTTCGGTCGTCAGGCTGGAAGAGACTGAATCTTGGGATGACGATGGAAACCTGGTGGACAGGATAGAGACGCGCAGCTGGGACGCCTAGCATTCCTTATGCTGCAGGAAGATGCTTGCTGATGTATTCACTGCAGATTAGCAGGTGTGAATGCAATGTCTATGATAATGTCTGCCTGACCCTGTTTACTCACTTTTTAACATATTGATTCCATGTGATTGCCACACATTGACTGTCTGATATTGGTGTCACTAATTAATTTGTTTGCGCACAGTGTGTATTAAAAACAGAACTGGCTGAAAACATTGTAAGTATGCCAAATTATAAGATAGCACCCCGAAACTTGGAAAGCTAAAGACTGATCAATTACATATACAGTCAGATTAGATCCTAACTCTTCCCAAACTGTTTAAGATCTCTCCAAGGTGAAACCAGCATCAGCAGTCCAACTGGATCTTCATTTATTATTTCCATCAGTCTCGTGGGATTTTCATTCATTATTTCGTTTAGTACATTTGGAAGTTGAATTCATGACTTCATTCAATGTGTTTGGTCATTATTCATACCATCACACACAGACATTAAGTTTGAATCTTACCAAACAATGCTTACAATTCTGAACAATTTTTTGCTAAGCATAATCCAATGCAGCATTCTACAGAGAAAGAGGTGTCACTAATTAATTTGTGATTCTCCTACACATGAACTGCTACCTGACTCATACGGAAGACTGGCTGTCACAGTTTTAAACAGATGTCTGCCTGGTCTAACTTCCAGAAGCGTCTTCTTTCTGTTAATTAGATACAGATGTACCAACCTGCCGTTGTGCTCGTGTCCAGAGGAGCTGCCCCTCCGGTCGCCCTCGTTCATGACCTGCACACGCAAAGGACAGGATCTAAAAACACGTCCCTCTGAACTTTAGGTGACTTTAAAACCCTCCACAACTGCATTCCTTTGATGTCCTGGCAGGGGACGAGTGGAACAAACTACATCACATGCCAGGGTTTCAAGGGGAGGACTCAAGGTGCAACTGTGAACAGCCAGGTGGATGATGACCTGCTGCAAGGATACACCTCGTCCGGTGTGGAGAAGCACATTCTCATACGCGCTCCCAGAGTGACACACACATGCTCGGGGAAAAGCTGTAACCGGTCCAGGCGTGAGTCATTCCACCGGACCTGCAGGGTTTAATTGTCAGCAGCCACAGGGTCACACTGTGAGAAATACTCACTCTGAAGGCAGAGTCCATCTGAGCCTTGAGGATGTTACACTTGAGGTGCTCTGGGAGGCCGGCCGTCAAAGCAGGAGAGTGAAGACTCTTCTCCGACAGCTGCTTTTCCTCCATCTGGCCAGTGGGTAAGGACTCATTAGACATTGTAGGACAGTGGCGTTAGGATGCCATGCTGGGGTGGGCATTCGGGTAAGTTAGGACGATTCAATTAAACCAATGATTAATGATTGGTTAAATCTGTCTACCTGAAGCCACGCCCCCTGCCTTAGGATTTGCCAATCTGGTCAATTCATGAGAAACAGGCTTACTCTCCTCTCGGGGGGTGGGGGAGGGGGGCATTAGTCCATCACATTAACAGTAATACACTCTAATATGTCAGACATACTGTCATGTGCCTCAATTCACACCTTCTAGAAGGAAATGAGTCAAGTGGCATCACACATTAATGTCATTCGAATAAATCAGCGCATATCCACTTAAGGTGTGTCCTAAGCACGTCATACCCTAGCATTGCTAACTTCCAGGTCTCCTCAACTGTAGCTTTAAATGTTTATCGATGTAACGACTACGATATACAATATGTCCAGTCGCCTCATACATATCTTGTGAATTTTACTTCCAGAATAAGCAGTTTTAAAAGTGTGCAAAACTGCCTGTAGTTTTGTTGTTCCCCTGCTGTCTTTCATTTGGACGGTTATATAATTATTAAGTGACATTTTATTACACTATGGCTTCTAAACAGAAGTACCACTTCTAACAGAATTAATTACAGTAGCTAGTGTGTTGCCAACTAAGACTGCCAAAAACAGCACTAAACAAATAATATAATTACTTCCATTAAAATTTAAAGCAAGAAATACTCTAATTCTCTTCAAAGAAGAGATTTTTCCCCCCAGTTATCTTTCCATGACTCACCATATGTTTTAGATCCTGACAATGTCCCACATTTGTAATGGCAAATAAGCAGGACTCATTTTTGCAAATTTTATTATAGTAAATGAAAACTCCATTACTCTTGATCCAAAACTCAAGGGTGAATAATGTATAAATTGCTGTGAGTAATAATGAACAGCACTGGTGACATTTTACATATTTCACTGTGTCATCATCCATCGCACAGCATTACAGGGCAGCTGCCACTTTCAGCGACGCCCCGCAGCGCCGGGCCACCTGGTGCACCTCGGTGAAGAGGCCATAACTCAGTGCTTCCCTTGTGTCGCAGCCGATAGGGGATTACATCGTGTGGAAAACGGAGAAGGATGACAGATGTCCCTGAGAAATCCGTTCTGGCACAAACATCACTCTCTCACCACCAGCTGAGCTGTTTTCTGTTGTTTGGCACCTTATGTTTAACATACTGATGTTTAATATTATCTTCTGTTTATATATATATATCTATCCATCCATACTATTTTGTAAGTGTGATGCCTGTCTAGGGGCGGGGCCACAGGGTCACTGGCCCCAGCTGAAAGCTGATTGATCCCAAGAGTCCCCCCTCCCTTGTCACTCACTGATTAAAAACGCATCATTCGCTAATGATAAGTCAGGCCCCTCTGTGTGAATTGTGGGTCCTCTTATGCCCCCCACCTTCTAAGAATCTCCCCTGAGTCCGTCTTAAAGACATCGGCACAGTTCCTGTCCTGTCCTGACATGGGGGTCCGGCTGTCTCAGACCACGCCGACGACTCAGACTTGCTTCCAGTACCTGAGCTTCCCAGGACCTCTACAAGTCCAGGCCATGCAGCTGCATGCCTGCATGGAATCTGGTCAGGGGTAGGGAGCGGCTCAGTGGCTTAGTGCCTATGATCAGAAGGTTGCCAGTTCAAGTCCCATTTTCTTCACGGACACATCCAGACGGGTGTGTGTGCTTATTCTACCCCCCCACAGTAGCACCCAGCTGTGTGGCCTCAGGGCAAAACCAGCTATAATGAAATGACAAGGCTCAGTCCACGAGCTTGCAAAGCAGTGTGAAGACTTGTACACCCTCGTGGTTTCGCACTGATCATTTTTATGTTTCACGTTAATAAGTTGTCTGCAGTGTCTGCATATCACCTACTTATGACCGCAGAATAAACTCAAATTCAGCTCATCTGCAATCCCATTAGATTCGAGTCATCTCAAGTAATCAAACTGAAATGTGGCCCAGCCTGGGCTCAGTAACTGGCAAGCCAATCAGAGAACTCGTTGTTTTGAAGGATGTCCAGGACACGGTGTGATTCTTTTGTGTGCAACTTTTTTTTTTGCATATAAACAAGATGAATGATCTTTTGAATCCTTTTAGTTTCCTTGATGCTGGGAATTCTCTCACGATTCTAAGGATTATGTCGTTCTTCTGAGGTTTACTGATAAATTGACTCTTGTTTTTTGGTCCCTGTTGTCTTAGCTTCTCCTTCACTTGTTCGAAACAGTTATGAAGCCAGAACTGTCTCCAGCAAAAGAAGGAGTGAAATACCTGACAATGAAATGTACTGTGCAGTTATAAATCAGATAGGACACCTCAGGACGTTATAATCCTTATGGATTTATTCAGGAGCATTGCTGTTTAAATGATTCACATGGGGGGCAGTTGGTATCACAGACTGAATCCTGGGCACAGTCAGCCCATTTTCAGGGCCCTAAGCTAAATTTGATTAACCTAGCTATCATTTGTCATCTCACTTCCCATTCTAACTAGCTGATCAGATGCCCTACCCCCTCCCCGGTGGCCACTTGGCCCTAAGAAGTCACTTAGTTCACTTATGCCTTGGACCGGCCCTGCCTGGGCAATAATAATCTTTGGGCTCATTAAAATATCTCTTAGTATTGTTGTCAAGTTTACGTTTGCATTTCTAAGTTGTTAGGATGCTGGTACAGCTTTATACTGATAGACTTTCAAGAGTCTGCATGGATGAGGTTTGTGTGGATGAGGTCTGTGGCTATGGTCTGGGTGGATGATGTCTGCAAGGATGAGGTCTGTGTATGTGGTCTGTGTGGATGATGTCTGCAAGGATGAGGTCTGTGTATGTGGTCTGTGTGGATGAAGTCTGCATGGATGAAGCCTGTGAGGATGAGGTTTGAGTGACTGAGGTCTGCATGGATGAGATTTGTGTGGATGTGGTCTGCGTAGATTAAGTCTGCATGAACGATTTTTTGCGTGGATGGAATCTGTGTGGATGTGGTCTGCATGGATGAGGTTTGTGAGGATGAGGTCTGTGTGGATGAGGTCTGCAATTATGAGGTCTGTGTATGTGGTCTGTGTGGATGAAGTCTGCATGGATGAAGCCTGTGAGGATGAGGTTTGAGTGAATGAGGTCTGCATGGATGAGATTTGTGTGGATGGAATCTGTGTGGATGTGGTCTGCATGGATGAGGTTTGTGAGGATGAGGTCTGTGTGGATGAGGTCTGCATGCTCTCACCTTACTGTCTATGTTGATGTGCAGTGATGGCCAGGGGCCTGGCAACCTGCCTGACTCCAGCTCCGTCTGCTTAAGCTGATCATCATCCAGGTCATCTGGCTTGCACTGCGTCACCGGTCTTAACACTGTAATATACAGAGTCACTGCACCACCAGTCTCAGCACTATAAATTACTGGATCACTGAGTCACAGGACTTAACACTGTAATATACAGGGTCACTGAGTCACAGGTATTATAACACTGTAATACACAGACTCACTGGTCTTAATACTGTAATACGCAAGTTCACTGAGTCATGGGACTTAACACTATAATATACAGGGTCACTAAGTCACGGGAGTCACAGGGTCCCTGAGTCACAGGTCTTAATACTATAATATACAGAGTCATTGAGTTATGTGACTGAACACTGTAATACACAGAGACAGAAATCTTAACACTGAAACACAGAGTTCCTGAGTCATCAGTCTTAACATTGTAACAAAAGGAGTCTCTCTTTCACTGTTCCTAATAGCACTGGCTTATCTTGGCTGGTTCCCTACAGTAATTCATCTAATCATTTTTGCCCTGAATATATTTCAAAAAACAGAACTGGATTATCACCAAAAAGTCTTATTCATTATTACATTTAGACTCAAATGGTACATAATTTAATCACAGATTTCAAAGCATATTAATATCAATGCCTTGCACCAGTCATCTGAAAAAATGCTATGAGATAACATTTGTACGAGGAACAGCTACGCTGGGTTTCTGTATTCATGTCTGCATGGGGAGCCGTAACGAGATCACAACATAGCTAATTATGGAAGTACATGGCAGCGCTGCAGGATGTTTCTTCAGATCACTTAAATATGGGGCTCATAATTTTTAATTGCTTTTCTCTTTTACGAAAGCAGAAGACGAATCCTGAGGCTGGTGGTGTGTGTTGCTTCCTCAGTAGTAATACAGGAAGTCGCTTGGATCAGTGACTGTTGTAGCTTCCTGTAATGAAGCTTTAGAGCTCATTAGGGCTGTGGAGCGAAGATCAATGGACACTTAAGATCTAAATACGGATATGGGAATTGGATTGAGGCTGTGATTCCGGGAGAGCCTTCCCAAGGACTCACTGTGCGATTTCGGCATGCCGCACAGGCTCTCGGCGCTCTCGAACCCGGGCTGGTGGTGGGGGCAGCGCCTGATGCCCTTGGAGGAGTACGGGGAGCCCTCGTTCTCTTCCATGCTGTACTGCTGTAGCTCTGGTTTGTTAGGCGAGACTCCCACCATGGGGTAACTGAGGAGAGACAGGACAGGAGGCTACAGCAGCAGAGCTGAGAACCCCCACGATAACGACACGCTAAGGTGGAGAAAAAAAATGGGATTAAACGAAGGAAAGACGCACAAAATGAGGAGAACTCGTCACGTATTCTCAGTAGACCAATGGGACGATACTTTGGGGGGGAGGGTGATGAAGCTGGCTTGGTGTATGTAAAAAGCAGAATTTCCCATGATTCTTTGTGGTCAGATTAGCCTATGACAAGGTTTTAAATCGTTATCGTTAGCCAATATGTTTCAAATGATATGGGTGACAGAGGAGGGGACACTCTGGGGGCCAATCAGCTTTCAGCTAGGGCCAGTGTTACTCAGACTGTGACAGATTATTATTATGGCGTCCATGGAAAATTAACCTCGCAGCATTTGTCTCCTGTAATGAAGGCCGATCATCTCCATGCCAACAGTCTCCAGGAAGCGACAGCCCATAGGCTCCCCTCTCCTGATGGGCATCTCCTGCGTGTCCAGGCCTGTTCCTGCGACTCCACCAGAACGGCTCCATGCTCGCCCCACTCCTTCCTTTAATTAAGTCAATGACACCTCAACAGGAAGATGTCCACTGGGACTCTTTTTAATTATGGTGCCATTGTGCAGCCCTAACAGCTTGTTTTATTGCACAGTGCTTACTTGCATGGAAAGGAGTGAGACGTGGCACCGTGTGGTTGGCTTGAGCCACGCCGCCGCTGAGCATATGGATCTGCCGGGTCGGACAATCCAACCTGCCCCTGGTGCTCAAATGGCTGGGGATTGAGCGACGGTGTAAAAGGTGACAGCTAAGATGGCAGAGAGGGCAGCGAGGGGGCCTTAGAGCCACCACAGTCGGCAGAATTCGCCACACCTCAAGGACTTTCGCGTCTTTCACCGTGGGTGGAGGAGAACTTCACAAGGTGGTCCCACAGACACAACACAATAAAAGGTGGCAGAGCTCCTGGCAGATCCTGAAGATTCTCCATGTGGTCCAGGGCCAGCAGATGAGGGAGCGCCGGTGCAGCCCTGAAGGGCTCCAGGATTTTATAGCGCCAAGGCGAATGGTCTGTCTTTCAGAACAGCACACTGTCACTCAACACTGCAGGAGATGAAACCTCAATCTCTTGTAATTATTTTCTCACTACCGTTCTTATTGTATTTCTGCACGTTTATACATGTATATCTAAAATAAAAGGGCAATTATACAGGCATACAATGATTTATTATTCTTAATCTTCCCTTCATACCGTGCCCATGGCAGAGATACATGCCCGTCCTGAAATACCAGAGAGGTGTGGTGGCCCCTCTTCATGTCCCAGCGGCCCCTCCCCCCTTTGATTTCACACATCCAACTCTGCCGCCACATCCACCCACCATGGCCTATGATGACGGAAGTCATACCTTAATTACTCATTTAGTGGAGGGGGGGGGGGGGGGTTCTTGGTTTTGTGTTTCTTGACTGGCTTGATCATCCACACTAACAGCAGTAAACATACTCAACATGTGACTTGGTGCTATAAAGGGAAAGTGGCTGGTATTAGGGACCTCACCAGTAGCCATACTTAGCTCTGATCTGGGTCATGTGATGGGGGGGGTGTAACTGAATGAATGTCTATATCGCATTTTTCAAGACACGCAAAGTGCTTTACAGAAGCAATGGGGAGCCGCTTCAGCCCCCACCACTGTGTAGCCCCCACCTGGATGACGTGACAGCAGCCGATCTGCACCAGTATGCTCACCACACAGTAGCTAATGTGGTGAGGAAGCAGGAGAGACTTCACCAGTTAGATACTGAGGATGATTAGGAGGCCAGATTTGATAGGGCCACAGTGGGCAACTTTAACCAGGACTCTTTTGAAAGAGGCTCTGGGATTGATTATAACCTCAGAGAGTCAGGACCTCAGTTTTACATCTCACCTGAAGGACGGCGCCATTTTTACAGCACAGTGTCCCCATCACTGCACTGGGGCACTGGGATCCACAAAGACCACAGGGTGGGCTAACCTGTTGGCCACACCCCCACCACTCCCAGCAGGAGCCCAGCTTCCTAGTTGGTCTCCCATCCAAGTACTGGCCAGGCCTAAACCTGCTTAGCTTCAGGTGGATCATCTAGTCTGAACAGCAGGTGGTTCGGCTGCTGACACGTCAAGAAGATTGGGAATGCGGACTTCGCCAGTAGCCATAGTGAATATTGAGTGCTGATCTTGATCTCATGAAAGGCTTAGGTAGTTTGGTGGTACAAATGTTCCTTGAATGCAATAAGATGATGCACTCAATGTAAACAGAGTAATAAAAACAGAATAAATCAACAAACACCAGAAGATACAGACAACAGACACAATGACAGTGTCACATGCGGGTCATGTCAAAAACAAGTGGTTTAAACACAGCAGATGGCTTTAACACTTTCATTATGTGTGTGAGCGGTGACATGGTGACAGAATGGGCCAGACAAGCCCCATAACCTCACAGGCTGCTGGGCCAACATTATCCACAATGTCCATTTATCTTGGTTGTGAGACACACCCCACTGACTGGTCTCGCACATCCCCACATGTTCATTTCCAGCTCCAAGTACATGAGGCTCCCAGCTCTTAACGCGAGACCAGATCCATGGAGTAAAAATGAAAATACAGCAGAGGGTGAAGTTTTTCTGCTTTTATAAAACAAACTTTTACAGTTCAGAGTGTAAATTGTAATTACTCCTTTAAAAGTTCTCTGTAAAACATTCAAATATTAAGGCGCGACGTTTGTAGTACAAATACTGATCAGTATGAAGAGAGACACAGACTGTTATTGGGCTGTCTGCAGGTGTGACTGAGTCGGCACTCAACCGGGTCTCGACCTGCTGGTCTAGGTGCTGCGCCTAGTGGGCGGGGCTCTCGGGGCGCTCACAGAGCCGTCATGACCTTGTCATCGTAAACAATGCTGACCACTCCCTCCTCTTTCTGGCTGCTGCGTTCGGGGACGGGGCGGCTGTTGGGGTCCCTGCCGAAGACGCGAGGAGGTTTGCTGACTGGGTCCGTGGTATGAGGTGGCCTGGACCACAGGAATGGATTAGTCACAGTGCGTCTCCAGGGAGCCCCAGAAGGGCCCGGCGGGGGTGGGGGAGTTGGGTTTGCATCAAGAGTGGAAAGGACAGTAGAGTAAAGGGAAGTTGTGCAAAGGAAAGTCTCCCCAGGAGAACTGAACATGGAGCCATGCGAGAGGAGGAGGAGGAGGAGGAGGAAGATAAGGAGGCCCGGATTCCTGCGTGACACTGGCGTGGCATGGGGACACACTGGTCACTTTAGGTCCAACATCAAAGCATAATGATGGTTTGCTCACCTTGGCCTGATGGGGGCAGTGCAGGCTGATATGACCAGCACACTAATGGAGGACAGTAGGCCTGGACAGAAAGCCTCATTAATCAGCTATCAGTTCTGAAGGATACGTCATGTTATTATTAACGGGTTAAATGCTTTACAAAACGTGCGCCTATTTGTACAGGATGTCGCTTACTTAATGTCAGGCGAATAAAGACTATAAAGGGGCGGGGCCACAGGGACACTGGCACGAGCTGAAAGCTGATTGGACCCCAGAGTGCCCCCTCTCCTGTCACTCTCCAGTCCAAAACATATTATTGGTTTATGATAAGGTTGGGCCTTCTGTATGAGGTATGGCCCCTCTTATGCACCCCACCTTCAAGAATCCCAGAATCACTCCTACTGGTAGGTAATCGGTACAGGGCAGCACTCTCTAGCCAATCACATGACAGCACGAGGCTCGCAGGTGCCGGATGATCTCAGCTCCCTGAAGCTGACACAGACACACCCCAGTGGCATCCCATGAGGGGCCCATCGCTATGGCTGCCCTCCGGAAAAGACGCTGCTCATGTTCGATTTCAGCAATGAAGCACAACGGAGCCGAATTCACACGACAGACCGACTTCAGAAAACATGCATCTCAACAGCTGGAGATGAATAATGCTGAAGAAAGGTGCGGGTTTGTGGTTTCTGCCCTCTTTAGGTCTGTATGAAAACCAGACTGTTTGATTCAAAGCGAAAGTGTCCTAGAAAAAAAACTGGAATTATTAAAGAACTAAAGCACAATCCCGCAGGGGATTAATGCACAGAAGGGTGTGCTCTTCAGCAAATAAGCAGCTCGGGTGAAATGTGCTGTATTATAGCTCCAGTGATTGATGTTCTGTAATTGAATATGATGTCATATTGCGCAAACACACACACGTACACACACACACACAGACACACAAGCACACACACGTGTACATACACACACACACACGTGTACATACACACACACACACACAAACACAACCACATATACACAGACGCACATGCACACACACACACACACACACTCACACACACGTTGGAGTACTTATCTAAATGGGGACCTTCCATTAATTTCTATGGGAAAATCCCAATACCCTAATACCAATCACAACACCCTTAACCCCTACCCTAACCTTAAACATAAGGAAGTGTCTTTTGGCACTTGTACTTTTTTGATAGCATTCACAAAATTTTTATAAAATTGAGGTTATCCAAATGGGGGGCTGAAAAATGTCCCCAAAAATAAGGAAGAATCAGGTTTTACCACACTTTAGGGACACACACACACACACTTAGACTGCAGTTTGTACTTACAGCCTTGACTGTAAAGTATACAAAACCCCCCAAGTGTTACTAAAGCTGTACTGTATTTGGGGCAAAAATCTGCTCACACACTGCTCCTCCTCACAGACCTCCATTCCTGAAGTTAATACTGCCCTCTCCAGCACTCTCTGGACCCAGCACTCCACAGCGCCCCCAACACATGCCAGGCGGCTCTCTGCATTCACACCTCGCAAGCTCGGATTCCGGGTCGCCGTGGAAACACGGAGCAGAGATGCATCGTGAGTGTGGCAGAGGGACCCCGACCCTTACAGAGGCAGAGCTGGGAGGGCACCAGCAAAGCAAAGAAACGCAGAGAGAGACTCCCAAAAAGCCCAAAAGAGCAGCAGCTACAGACTGAGAATGAGAGCTAAGCCAAGGAGCTCCCATCTTTGATCATGATCACATGACCCAAGGGGTGCCTTACCTGGGCGGGGGCGTGTGGGCAGGGTGCTGGGCATATTTGGCATGCGTCAGGTGCCAGGGCTCCTGAGCCACCGGGATGTTGTGCTGGTACTGCGGGGTCCAAAGCAGAACAAGGGCATTGTGGGAAGGTGACGGAACAGCCTCCAGGGGGCAGTGCTGTGCGGCACGCGGCCCACCTGGCTGACATTTCCAATTAACTACTGACTGAAAATAAGCCCCACAGTCGCACTGGGGATTTTACAGGAAGGACACATTGGCCAAACTAAATGCGCCTTAAGGCAAGCGGAGGAATCAAATAAATAAATATTGACTTCTGCTTAAATATGCTTATTCTTCACACGCCATTCCCAGGGCACAAAGGCTAGGTGTTTACCTGGTAGAGCGTGGGGTCAGGACTCGTCTGGGAGCTATTGGACATGGGGAGAACACAGTCAGACTCAGGGCAACATAAGACACAGTGCATTGTGGGTAACAGAGGTGGAGATTCCAGGTCCAGAGAGTACAAATCCAGACCAAGATTTTGTTTCAACCAACCAGTTGAGTACTCTGTGACTGTGACTCTTTATACACAACTGGTTGGCTGAAAGAAAACCTTGGTCTGGATTTGTACTCTCTGGACCTGAAATCTGCACCCTTAGTGGGTAACAATTAAGATCAGGCTATTACCTATTAAGTTATACCCCACACACCAAACATTATGAATATTTTACAGTGCATTAAGCATTGTTTATCAAGATGTAAATATTACAGCCACAATTCAGATATTGCTATTAACTGTGTCCTCTGCTATTAACTGTGTCCTCTGTTACAATCATAAATGTTGTTAGTACTGTGGTGTCTCCGGGTAGGACCGCTGTGAACCTCAGCCCTTACCTTAGGTGAGCCGCTTTGGCTGGATTCAAGGCTGTGGGCAGAGGAGACAGCAGTGAATGTGAGGCGAAGTGAACCAACGAGCAGAATCCAGGACACATGACGTGAGCCCACTGCAGGCTCCGCAGAGAGGACAGAGTTCTGATACGCGGTACCCGTTAGCAAGGGGTTAACCGTGAACGGTTCTAGTAAATGAAAACCATGAATCAGACCAAATTACACACAGTATGTAGTATCTGCTTCATATATACAGAATATTTTTGGTTATGCTTTAGTTCCTGATCCCCAGCCCCCCACTATGAGAATCCTATATTAAAGATGTATAGCATGTGGAAGGTGGGCAGCATAAGAAGGGCCATATTTCATTCATAGCCAATGATATATTTTGAATTGTTGAATGACGGGAGAGGGGGCCAATCAGCTTTCAGCTGGGGCTACTGCCCTTGTGTTACCACCCCTGTTAAACATCCCCTGTGCGAACAGCACGGGGAAAGCCACTTGACACAGCCTGCTGAACGTTCCTGATATGAACATGCACTTTTTCCACGTGGGGGCTCCCCTTTGCCCCATGTGTTGCTCAGGGCACTCTGAGTGGTGACAGGAAGAGCCAGCTTACACCGGGGGGGGGGGTCTTACCTTTCACCATGGACTGCCTTCGAGACGGGTACCGCTTGCTGGGCCGCCTCTCGAAGGTGCTGGCTCTCCTCCCCCGGCTGATGTGGGTCGCCTGGTATTCTGTCCTCCCACTGCAAGAAGACACAGGCAATCCAGGCTAAGTAATGGTCCATCGTCATCGCAGGCATGTGCACAGTAAAGCGGAATGATGCTCTTCCTGGACCCACGGTGCAACATTTATGACAGGACAGACATTACAGTGCGAAAGACAGAATTATGGAATCATTTACGCTGTGTGAACAATTATCGATTATTTAATAGGAATGAAGACAGAGGGAAGACTACTGTCAAACTACAGCACAGAACAAAACAGAACCCAACACATGACATAAATGACATGACATGACATCAGAGGCAGACATTTCAGGTCCAGAAAGTAAAAATCCAAACCAGGATTTTGTTTTAACCAACCAGTTGAGTACAATGTGATCGTGACTCTTTATAGTCAACAGGTTGGTTGAAACAAAATCCTGGTTTGGATTTTTACTTTCTGGACCTGAAATGTCCGCCTCTGCATGACATAAACATTCCACTTTAAACAAACAATGAACAGGCACACTGCATAATACTGGGAAATGAGTGCTATCAATGCTTAAACTGGCAGTGCAGAGAGAACTACAGTGTAGATGTATACAGTTGTAAACAGTGTACAGATGTACTCATTTGCTGCACAACTCATGGGGACACACTGCGGCATGGTGCACATGCAGAGCTGGGCTGTTGGCTCACTGATAAGGGCATAGCTATTGTAATTTAGAGTTTAACCAGCAGGGGCGCCACTGTAGAATTTAACCTGAATCACTCCGGGAAAACACCCAGATGCCCGCAGAATTAATGGCTAAAAGCTAATTAAATGAAATTCCTTGTACTCCAGTGGCTCTGAACGTTTTTCTTGTGTGTGTGTGGGGGGGTGGTGGTGGTGTAGAGGCTTTTTAGCTCATTCTTTAAATAACTAACAATCTCAATGTGGATAATTAGCCCAGCCGGGGTCCTGCCCTATGATTGGAGCAGTCAGGGCCGAAGCCGTGGTGTCAGCCAATCAGATGGCGGCAAGCCTCACCTAAAGCGGAAGCGGGAGCCCAGGCGCACGAAGTCGCTGCGGCTCGGCTTGCTGTGTGCGGGCTGCCGCAGACGAAAGAAGGCGTGGCTTTCCACGGCGCACTTCCACATGTGCTTGCAGGTGCGGGCGTTCTCCAGCCGGAACACGAAGGTGTGCTCCTGCTCCCGGCCCTGGCACAGAGGGAGGCGGCGGTCAGACTCGGGCGCGGGGGTGATTCGAGACCCCAGAGAGCCGTATAAAGCCCCCCTGGGTCCTAGTGTCCTAGGGATAGCTGTAGTGATGTCACGTCTTGATGGAAGAATTAAAATGAATGAGAACACATGATTTCAACTAATTAGTATACATTGTAGGGGGACTAAAGCCCCTAAACTGCTCAGCAAAGCTCTGCAGGATGTCCAGCCCACCTCAAAGGACCCCCAAGATCACAGCGTCCGTTTAAGGAGGGGGCCGGGCATAAGAAGCCTAGCTTGGTTGCCCGCTGCTTGGTTGCCCCCTGCTTGGTAAGGCGAGGGGCCGGGACTAACTGCCACTGGGAATAAACCGGTTTAACGGCGAGTCCCCAGTATCCGACTTCACTACTACTACAAAAAGGCCGTTAAACACGTGAAATCGGTTGACTTCTTCAATCCGAGTCCAAATTTCTATGAAAAAAGCAGGGGGGCTCCCCTCAGGACGTACCAGCGTACTACAAAGTGGTCCAGTGGGTATGTACACACGACCATAGGGCCCGAGTTCAGAGGCAAGGACGGTATCGTGAGAAGGTCCTCAGTCTGACCCGCCTCAGGACACCTTCCACCGTATAAATGGGTAAAAGTTCACAAACATCCTCTATGTGTGGAAGCCCCCCCAGAGAGAAACCTAAATTGAGACCCCGGTGGAGCCCCCTCGTGCCCCTATCCCAGCGCTCTCCTCTGTAATCAGTTATATATTTCACTGCCAGAAGCTGTACTGTACTCTACCAATTTATCTCATAAATAATTATGGAACATGCAGATTAGATTCCCGCTTATTTGATTAGCTTGATTAATTGAGTTGTGCGAAGAAACTCCAGAGACTGATTTTCCATGAGCAGAACTGGGAAGCCCCCTCCCCCCCCCCCGAACCTGAGAACCCAACAGATATTAACATTCAGCTCTACACTTCAGATGTGGCCCCACTCAATCCAGTGATAAAAATCCTGGCAACATAACTACATCCGTGAGAAAAATCAAACTGGGCTTTTTACCCGACGCTGTGCCGATAGATCATTCCTGTTCGTAAAGACCAGTACATACAACCTAACCGTGAACAGGGAATCACTCCCTCCAGATGGAAGGAGGCTGAGATCTGTGAGGTTCATCCACACGCTGAATGTACATCAGTGAGGTGAAACGCGTCGGTTTACCTCGTCGTCGTCCTCCACCACCACCAGAGTCAGCCTGTTCTTCTTGAAGTCCAGCCTGATGATTTTAGGCCTTTAGAGAAACCCATCAAAAGACGAAACATCGTTATAAGTATCCCTGCAGTGGGATGCAGATGCTCACAGTGACATCATCACTCTGCCCACTCCTGTCTACTTAATAAACACAAAGAAGAAAAATTCAAGAAAAATGAGCACTCGTGTTCATGTGTGTTCATGGCCCGGACTCAATATTGTTCTGCTGCCAGGCACAAATGCTGCTTTTAAACAAAAAGAGGTTGTTCACAAAGACCATGCCGATGTTTATTAAGTTGGTAATTAACATCACCTACCAGAAAAACAGGCCAATTTTTTCTGACCCTTCGAACACGAGTATCCCAGTTGGGGTTAGGCCAAGTGCATAGTCGCACCCGTCCCTGCCCTGTCCGAGAGAGGGAGAGGGAGAGTGTTGATAGGCTTAGTCCTAGCTAGGGTTGCCACCCGTGCCTTATAAAATAATCTGCTGTGTGCTGTATTATACAGGACAAGTGGCGCTCCTAGTACTAGAATGTAGTCACACCCACATCACCCTGTCTGACCAACCATAGCCGGTAAAGTTAACCAGCTGAAACTCTCCTACTGCAGCGTTTCCCAACCCAGTCCTCGGGGAACCCCGGACAGTCCACGTTTTTGCTTCCTCTCAGCTCCCAGCCAATCAGGAACACCGAATACCTGGTACAGGTGCGCTGGGAGCTGAGATGAAGCAAAAACGTGGACTGTCCGGGGTTCCCCGAGGACTGGGTTGGGAAACACTGAACTACAGTATAAGTGCTGACTAGGATGCAATAGGCTTTACAAGTTGTTCATGGACTTCAGCTCAGAATGTCAACCCACTCAAACTCTTCGCCAAACTAATCAAGATGGCCGCTGACAGGCATCTGCATTACACCACTGATATTTGCATATTTACTGGCATATTCATCACATTCCTTGTGTTTACTCCTCTCCGTTGTGTATCTTTGCCTTGTATTTATTCTCTGTCAGCATTATGCCCTAATCAGTAGTTGTCTATTGTCATGGTGTCTTGAGCAGTAACAAGCTGAGCCAGCCAACATTAACACCGGCTTTGGTGTTAATTCAGAGTCTGATTTACCCAGCAGCCTGTTCTCCTCGACCGCCACCCACCTGACTGACTGTAACTCACTGTAGGATCAAAGCCGTGCTTCCTGATAGGCCGACCAAACCGGAGAAGGACTCACATACAACACAGAGAGGCAGAAAATTTAATATGCAGCACTGCGGTTTTATCCGTTTCACAAACCTTCACAAAATGCATGTCCACTCCATACATCTCCAGCCACTTGCACTTGTTCAGAAAGCACATCTCCGCCTGGGAGGGAATCTTCCCCCTGTAAGACACGATGCACGCGTGTTCAAGCAGGAAACTCAACAGACAGGCTGCTAAAGACGGAATATGAAATGGTTAAAGTGGTTATTTAGAGAAGAAAATGCTGAAATGTGTCATTATAAAATATTGGTAACAGCAGTGGGATAATGGCCCTTTCCCTAGTGATGAAGGGCTGCAAAAGGCTTTCCCACTGCGAAGGCTAATCACCCTGCACTCCGCAGCTAAAGATGGAAGTAGTGTGCTGTTGTCTTCATACCCGTTAGCGTTTGCTAACTGCCTGTTACCATACTTTGCTGGAACTCACTTGGTCTAATCATTCACAAAAGTTAACGATTGTCATCCATCATTAATCTGTTGTTTTTAAACCATGGCATGTCTGTGATTTGCACTATAACGTCTTGTCAATGATATATGGACCATCTTCCACTACTGTTTACAGGAACTATCTGCACTGATGCTGTTGTGTATCATTGTGCACCATTTTAACTTCTTTATCTTTAATTATTTATTTCTTATTTATAGCTGTCTAACACTCTGAAGAATCGCAATTTCATTTCACGTATGTGAAATGGCAATAGTGACTCGACTCGAAATGTAGGTTTGCAGGCCGCGAGGCGGAGGGCACTCCGACACGCTGAAGATCAGGAACACCGGCGTGACGGATGTGTGATTAAACCGGTCCTCCTCTTTATCTGGGAGATGGGATGCCCACCCTCACCCACCATTGATGGAGGGTTTATGGGAGGATGCTTAAATCATAAGCCCAAACACGATTTCCCATTTCACAGACCATGTGACGTGCGGCGAGCCCCTTTTGACAAATGGCGGTGCAGATTTCTGCATCATCACTACGGACTGTGATCATAATGCTGTTTCTGCGCCATCTGTGGGTCCCTCAGCGACCACACAGCACCCTGTCACCCTAATCACCACCCTGAACTCTGTCTATCTAAAAAACTCCACTCAGGATAACCACAGAGTTAGAGACGATCATTCTTACCGCTCCTCCTTTTCACACACTCAAACCATTTCGTTTTCCCCCTCTCGTTTAAAAGGTAAAAGAATTTTTAATTATCCACTCTTCTTTTAGCAGTAATTGACATCATTGGCAAATAACAAACCTAATGCCATAAAGTTAAACCACTGCATCAGACAGAAAAACACATACAGACGCTCCTCTACTTGTGAACGAGTTACGGTCAGGAGTCGTACTAGGCGGAAAAAAAAATGATGTTGCGGACAGGAGAGCCCAATGAACACAATTTGGACTTACAGTCCTCCTTGTTCGTATGTCTGAAAGTTCGTAAGTTGAAAGTTCGTAAGTAGAGGAGCATCTATTTCAATTTCGCACCTGTTGAACGTCTGTATTCAGTCTGCAAGTGTATTTATGAGACGCTGTACTGCAGATTCCTGTTACAAAGCACCCGCTACGGTACTAACATGACACAGCTGCTCGGAATGGCCGTTATACACGGATTTCACCGTAGCGTGAAACAGCAATGCGGAGCCGGGCCCAGTCTGGACTTCGCAGGCTGGGCCTCTGTGACTATAATTGGAAAGGTGCTGGTTCGGGTCCCATCTGTGGCAGAATAGTCACATCTCTGTGAGCCTTTGAGCAAGGCCCTTAAACCCCTCCAAAATGCACTAGGGAGGCTGGATAAATGACCCTGTGCTCTAAACTGCATGTGTGACTCAAAGGAGAGCATGATGGGATATGTGAAAAGAAGCCTTGAAATATATTTGTGCAGTTTTGGCAAATAAAGCATCAGTTCCCTTAAATCCACAGGGAGGGGGCATCATCAGTCACTGGATCTTAATGGTATATGTCACACTGGGGTGTGGGGTGTGAATGGTCACATAGTGCCCTCAAATTGCCAAAGAAAACCCTAACCCTAACCCTACACTGGATTCCTCACACATCAACCCCGCTCCTAATCTAACCAGTGATATTCATGAGGCTGCCTTCACTGCAGGATGCAGATGAGGTCACATGACCCTTTTAATGGGGCCGGATTGGGAAACGCCACGTCGACGCGAAGACAGATGGCCACATTCCCAGTGTGACAATGAACAGGGAGCCTCACTGTCCCGCTGGGACCCTCATAAACCAGCTGGTGTGAAGCCAAAATACAACAGCGCCCCCCCTCTGGCCAGCTCACCTGCATTCGACCCACTTCTGAAAAATGGCGGCCTCCATTACTTCGGTCTGCTTGGGGATGAAGCGGAACTCGGACACCAGCTCCGGGGAGTGCTCCATGGGGTCGCAGTCTCCCAGCTCGCCTGCGGGGGCAGCACAGCGGAGAAGCTGACCGCAGCTGGTGTGACATGCGACGGCCCCTCGAACCTCATCGTGTGTTATATGAGACAGTCTGGTGCCTGATTCATTCTGTTATTTCGGCAGTGCCACCCTAACCTTATTTACATGTTAGTTATATTATTACATATTATTACTATGATTCAACCTCCATTAATTAAAGATGCACTGACAGCATGGACTGTGGTACACATCTGAATGGGGGGGGGGGGGGGGGGGGGGGGGGGGGGGGGGTTGGGACAAAGGGAAGCCCCCCCGGGGGGGGGGGGGGGGGGGGGGCGGGGGGGTTAGCAGGTTTGGTCAACTAGGAAGCTCCCGCTGGGAGAGGTGGGGGGTGTGGCCTATCCTGTGGATCCCAGTGCCCCAATGCAGTGCAGTGATTGGGACACTGGGCTATAAAATTGGTGTCGCCCTTTAGGTGAAACATAAAACTGAGGTCCTGACTCTCTGAGGTCTTAAATTATCCATGAGCCTCTTTCAAAAGAGTCCTGGTTAAAGTTGCCCACTGTGGCCCTATGAAATCTGGCCTCCTAATCATCCTCAGTATCTAACTGGTGAAGTCTGTCCTGCTTCCTCACCACATTAGCTACTGTGTGGTGAGTGTACTGGTGCAGAATGGCTGCTGTTACATCATCCAAGTGGGGGCTACACAGTGGTGGGGGCTACACAGTGGTGGGGGCTACACAGTGGTGGGGGCTACACAGTGGTGGGGGTTGAAGTGGCTCCCCGTTGCTTCTGTAAAGTCTTGAAAAGAGCTAAATAAATTAAATAAAACTTTTTGAAAATTTCAGATATATCTCTTTGTTTTAAAAAAAAACAAAAACAATTCTATAATTGGGTCTTATACTAATAAAAAATTTTTGGTTTGCATTAAATTGCCTGTAGGTAACTTTTTTTTGTGATTGGTCAGCACCACATTCTTAATGACGCTCTGAAAGGCACTCCCCCCCCCCATTCCATAACCCATGATGGACAGCAAGAACATCAGCGTCGTAGAGCATGAGTGGATAACTAATGTCTTGTCTTGTGCGTGGGATCACGTGGCTGGTTGCTGGTTCGAGGGCACAGGGCCACCTGCTGGCCATGACGAGGTACTTACTCTGCAGACAAAGGGCAGCAAGCTCTACGGCGATGTCATATGGGCATTTCAACCTAAAAACACACAGCAGGACCCCAACATAAACACACCATTATGTTTCACGCCTACAAAATGACTCTTCCAAAATGGAAACGGGGAACCATTATAAAAAGCACAACATGGCCTGTTTGACTCACAGCAGTCCTAAAACAGACCGTGCTGCCAGTGTAACAAACTGTGTCAGTCACTCCTAAACCCTAAAATTAGAAAATGCATTTGTGTAGTCTTAATCTCTCGTCAAACAGATCGTACCACCGGGGAGCAGATGGCCTAAAAACTCCCCCAAATCTTAATCTTCTGGAAAAAAAAGGTTTAGACTGTTTCTGTCTTTATGGAAGCTAAACCCAAGGTGAAAGATCAGCTTTAAACAAAAGAGGTGATAATTTAAGGCAGCATTTTTCAACCCGCTCCTCAGGGACACCACAGACGGTCCACGTTTTATCCTACCACCCAGCTCCCTGCCAGACAGTGCACATTCACGGGGGCCGTCTGAGTGTCCCGAAGGACTGGCTTGATAAACACGGATTTAAGGAACGAGCGTAAGGAGGAATAGGCGTGTGACTCACTTCCCCGACAGGATGTCCTGCCTGAGCTGCAGCACAAACAGGTACCTGCAAGCCAAAGGGAAGAAGCCATTAGAAAAAAAATCTTGATTTACCCACAATGCACCATGTTTTTTATTTGACTGTCCTCACCTGGTAAACTCCTCGCGAAGGTTATTGGGCTCCGATGAGTAAAACTTCACCCGGAAGTAGAGTGTGAATGGGGGGCCTGCTTGGAGTAAAGAGACACCATATCTTAAATGCCACTGAATTCAACCCCCACTTGAAAAACACACGAGAAGAACAACATATGTCCGCCATTTTCCTTTAAAGTGTTAATGTTAGTTGACTCAGTGCCGTTTGTTCCGTTCTCTGAAATACATTCATCAAATCACTGGTCTTCTTTTTCAAATGGGCTTCCACAATGCTGTGTGGTAGCATTTATATATTCTCCACAAAATCATGTGTTTTTAAAGCCTTGGGGCAAAGCATGCTGGGAAGACTGACATTGTGTGGCCTTGGGGCAGAGCATTCTGGGAAGCGTGGCATTGTGTGGCCTTGGGGCAAATCATACTGGGATGGCATTGCTTGTCCTTGGGGAGAAGCAGTGTAACCATGAACAGGGAAGGCGTAGAAACAGAGGCAACAAAGGCAGGGAGCGGTTAATTAGCAAAGACACTCCAAACAGACGGTAGTCAGGGCAACAAACATGTAACTAGAGCAGAACTAACTAGCAATGCAAATGATGGTTTTCTAGGAACTCGCCCGACTGGTTCAGCCAGCATGCAAACCCGAGATTTTTGGTAGTCTGAATCACAAAGAGGATCCCGG